ATGGTAGTTACAGCTTCTTTATAGCGGTGAGTCAGATTGCAGTGGCATAGTGACCTGGACAAAAAAACCCGACACCTTCTCCAAGTTTTAACGTTTTTAAATAGATATTTTAAACTGAAATATTCATGATATTAAGAAGAAAAAACCTGTCCACTTGAAAAATACAGCTTATTTGAACTAGTAGCTTAAATCTTTGCATGGAAATAAATTTATTACCCTGTGTTTAAGACTTATATTTCCTGTCAGCATCTGTCTGTTGTCCTCTATTGTACCTCTGTTTTGGTATGAAGGAACTTGGGGGTTTTGGTGGGAGTGTGTATCCCATCAGCTGGTGTTGGGAAGCCACAGCTGCTTAAGCAGGTAGGGAGCTAGTAAAGAAAGAACAGCCACATGGAAAAGAGATCCGGGGAGGATTTCCAGCAATAGTCTTGATGGGAATCCTCTGAATGGCAGCTTGGTACAACCATCGCAATTTTTGGCCTCTTCCATTCTGTCTTTGTAGAGTCCTCAGTAGGTGCTGTGTCACACAGGCTCTGAGGTCAAGAGGAATCATTCTGTGGCTGAACTGGAATTTGAAATACCCACAAAGCCAATACTTCCTTCGGCATGGACTTACAACTCTAGCTTGTATAAGTACCATGCCAGCACAATATAAATAGCTCGTGATTTCTACTGTCTGTTGTGCGGATGTTCTTTTCTGAATAGTTTTCATTCACCAATAAGATGTGTAATTGTGAGAACAAATAGATAATTCAAACTAATTGCTGTCTTCATTGAAGTTCACGCTACAGTCTTTACTACAGCTTGGGACAGGGAGGACCAAAATAAATTAAGAACCTTGTTCATTTGGTAACTGCACAGCAAAATATAATACATGGATATAGTGACTGTAGCAACAATTAGAAGGGTTTTCAAATCACTGGGCTGATGCCAATAAAAGACTTCCAAAACATTTTAGCTAATCCTACTAATTATGGTACAAAACCATCATACAGTGCTCCTGGAGAACTTCAAATGGAGTGCGACAAGTATTGAAGTTGGGTAATAGAAAGCAATGTGTGGTGTTTGTGTTCTTTGAATTCATGCAGTCTTGCTGGAAGTAAGTGACATCTTTGTAGTTCCATGTCTTTTTCCTATTCTATTAGAGCAGTATTTAAGAAATTTAATTAGGGTATTTTGTAATGTTAAGTTACTGCTTGGCTTCCAGTTTCTAGCATGAAGTCTGTACATAGAAAAGGATGTATTTTCAAATGAAATGAACTGACTTATCAACTCTAGCAAATACTCATTTGAAGACCGAGTATTTTCAAATGAAATGAACTGACTTACCAACTCTAGCAAATACTCATTTGAAAACAGATAAAACTTTCGCATTTTGCTTTCATGAGTACTGCAGCTGCTGCAAACCACACAGCCTGTATATTTCTTTTTAAGGTTATTTCAGACTTTTACAGATATGAAAAGCAGGCTTTGAGGGACTTTACTGTAGTGTGTGCCATTCTGTACCTGTGCATACCAGCTATATACAGGCATGGAGGTGGGAGAGAAGATGGTTTACCAGGCTGGGAGGTTTGTAGACTCAGAACTACTCTGAAGATCAATACAAAATAGTGGAGCAATAGCTCTATCTACAACAAACAAGCATTTAAAAAAAATATTCAGAACCAAGTTTCTACAGTGAGAAATCCTACGTATCCTGATATAAATCAATTCAGATCTTGGCAAGAGAATGTCCTTACAAGGGAAAAAATGGTAACCTGAGAAACTCATGTTAGACCATAAATCTCCAGCTTCAGCTGGAAGACTGGGCTTTGTTAGGAAGGGTGGAGTGGTAACTTCTCTATGGAGGTGAGAATGAGCTCCTAACTGTTTGTTTCTGTCTGCTTTCTTAGTTTATCGCTTTCATTTAGGGAAACAGTCAATGCTATCCTAACAACTAGCCTTCCTGCAGACATAAATGCTGTGCAGAGGGCTTCTGTTTCTAGCACAGGTTAGAGACAGCCACTTTTCCTGCCAAACGTGGGCTTCTTTTCAGAGGTGATTTTGTATCCTGCTTATTGAATGCAGATAGCAAAGACTTTGGCGTCTGCCCATTTCTGGAAGCTGAAGTGACTATGTTGCTGTGTTGCAGAGGACTGTGGAGTATAAGATACTTGTACTACTTCACATATATATGCATCTCTTTCAGTAATTTTTACCTTTTCAGCACTTACTAGAGCCATGTTTGTTATTGCTGTTTCGGGCAGTGACTGAAGTTACCCTTTAATTTGGGAAGATGTTCAAGATGTGGTTATTCTGTCATACAGGACACCCATCTCTTCCTTCTCTCAGCCACTCTGTGAAGTAAAAACACATCCAAACACCTGCACAAAGAGAACAGCAACTCTTCAGTGGCAAAGAATCCAAGGATAAATGCCAGACACAGAAGAGAAATAAAGCTATCTTTTCTGGTATTACAAGTAGCGTATTTTCCTTCAGTTAGATACTGACATCCCTAGTTTATATTCACTAACTAATATTTGGTATTCCAGATGTAAATTAACTGACCTTTCAGGGGAAGGATAAGCTCTTGATCCTTCTCTTGAAGAGTGTTGTTTATAACTTCTGAAAGCATTCAGCATTGCATCAGTACCAAACCAGAAGTACTTTTAATTTTACCTTCAGTTGCCATCTGCTAAATTAGGTGCCTTGGGAACACTGTAATACCTTGTACGTGCTGCTAACCCATCTTTATATAATGAATATTTATTTCTCTTTATGCGTCTGTAGTTACTTTTTTAACTTGGAATTTACTAAAATTTCTTTGATTTTTAAAAATTATTCCAGTTTCATCTGTCATATTCAGACAAGGAATCACTAGAGAGGGAGCCTAGAGGTGAATCCCAGCAAGAAGTCTTAAGACGTGCAGCCAAGGATCTTCCTATCTATACACGGACGATGTCTGGAGGTAAATAGTGTTCAGGAGACCACCAGAGGCAGAGGTCTTCATGTACTACTTAAAGTAGTAAAAAAAAATAAATTTCAAGGGTTTGGATTGAAGGGAAGGCATGCTTTTCATCCTTCATAAAATGACATAGTGACCCAAGAACTTAACTTTCCTGTATATTTATGTGGCTGCATTTATTCAGTGTAAAGATTGTTGGAAAGGAATTTGCGGCGTATATTTGGGATTTTAAAGTGGATTGACAATGCCTTGCTAGATGTTTTCAAACTGATGTTAACAATTAGCTTGTAATACTAACAAGCTGCAGAAGAGTCTGTAGCAGTCATTAGCTGGATAGACTTCTTTTTTCATAGGTTAAAAAACTAAAGAATTAAGAATCACTGTCTGCATGTCATATGTAGCTAGATAGATCACAGTAAGAAATTTACTGGTTTGCTTGTTGGTTGTTCAGTTGCAGGAACAAAAGTTCTTCCAAACTAAGAGTTAATTTGACCCTAATGATATTGTCAGTTTGTGAATGCTGGCTCGCTAAGCAAATTGGAGAGAGAATCTCATACAGTAAATTAGAATAGTTAGAATGATAGCTTAAAGTAGCTGTGTTGTTGAACAGTCTTTAAAGGTGTTCCAGTCGAGTGAGGGTTTTGTTGGTTCATTGGTTGTTCTGCAGAGCTGAGGGTTTGGAAGAAAAAAACCCTGATAAGCATGATTAGCAGAGATTGCAAAACCAGAGATTTTGGGGTTCACTCTGCTAGATTCAGCATTGCAAGCAATTAAAGAATGCTTCAGTATTTGTGAATGCCTCAGTATTTGCAACTGCTTCTAATCATGCTGAAATGCTTTCCTGGGGGTTCTGCTGGCTGAGCTGCTAGTATTTACTTTTTCACAGACTTTGAGAATCAAAATGAGTAACTATACATTGAGATCTAATCTTGGACCTTTTTTTTCTTTAGCAATCAGATACTGTGACAGATGCCATCTTGTAAAACCAGATCGTTGTCATCACTGTTCTGTATGCGACAAGTAAGAAAATATTTTAAATAAGTGGTTTTCTGAATTAATCTATTTCTTTCCTTAACAATGAAGCTTTTATTTTTTATGAGTAGATTTTTAAGGTTTTAATATTTTGGCTTTTTTCCCCCCCTTAGATTTCCCCCCCGCCCCCCCATTTAGTTTTCATTTAGTTATTTCTAAGGAAGTCTGTAACTTGGACTAGTTCATTTGATGGCTTTCCTGATGCTGGCATGGATTACGTGGTTTGATGCATTCTTTAAATAATGCTTTAAAATTATAAATATTAATAAAGAACTTTCCTTAAGAATGTAACCAAAAATAGCTGATAAACAAAAATTTGCTTCTTTTGTTAGAATCTGAATAAACATCACTACCCATCTCAGTCTAATCATGATGTCACTTACATCTTATCTGAGGTAATAAACTTAATAACCTATTTTTCACTGAGTAACTTGCGGTTTACTTTTGTTTAAAGAAAGAAACAGCCAGGTATTCTCCCATTTCTAACCGAAGCCAAAAAATGAAGTTTTTGTTTGTCTGGCACAAAAGAAAGTTCACATCCATAGTCCCCAGAAGTCTGATTGCTTTCTAATTTAATCTTTCTTTTGACTGTTCTTCTCTCTGACCTTTCTCCATTAGTTTGGAGTCTCTGTGTTTCTCCACTCTTGCCTCCAGTGCTTTAGATTTCTAACTTAGCGAGAAGACACTTCTTCTGAGGGTGATTTATTCTTAGCTGTTCCAGATACTCTTCAGCTGATATAGCATCAGACCTTCCAACATGATTGTCAGGTGGAGAAAACATTCCATTTTGTCGATCAAAGCAGCAGGGACTGAAAGAGTAACAGTTCAAGCAGAAGGAGGATCTTGATTGTGTTGTATGGACCAGTGGTTATGGATGTTTCTAGTGGAGAAAAAGGGTGACTTGTGTTATCCTGGGAAATAGGAGTGAAATTTGCAGAATGCCATTAGGTAACATATTTTGCAGAATACCTTTATTTTGTCCTTACTTTGTCAAAATTCCCTTGCTTCAATTAGGTCTGTTTTTCTTGTGCACCTTTTTTTAATTGAGAGTGATAATTGCAGAAATGTTTGGGATTTTTTGTACAAGGTAAGTTCTTAAAAACCTTGTGTGCATTTGTATATATTTCTATAAAAGCAAACAATGTTCTAGGAAATACATTTAGTTGTATGACTAAGTTTGTAGTAATTGAATTAGCCTGGTTTCTAAGGCCCTGTCAGAAAATAAACGTTAGTTGGAAAACTTACTCAGAATGAGCACCAGATCCTAAAGTTGAAGCTATACATTGCATTTTCTTAAATTACTAAGCTCTTGACAGGTAAGGGTTTGGAGGTAGGGTTATCTGCAGTTCCCTTGGTAAAATCTGAATTTAAACAGACATATTTGTTGAATAGATTACATAGACATATTTGTTAAACAGATTGCATAACCAGTAGTAAATATGGGTAATTAATCTGTTTGTGAGTAAGTTAAATTTGACATACAACTGTTTCTGACTTTTTTTTTTTTCTTTTGCCTTCTGTGATGTTTGGAATTCTGTTGGGGTTTTTTTAAGATGCATTTTGAAAATGGATCATCATTGCCCTTGGTGAGTGTACTATTGGCTTTCTTTTTCTTACTTTCTGATTTGGTAAAATAGACTCTTGTGGGGCCTGTCATGAAGGTGATGTTTCCTGGGGTATTCCTGGATGGTGTATTCCTGGAGTTAGATGGTTATGTGGGGTTACTGGTCTTGCAGAACCATTGGAGTAATTTACTGTATGTTCTCTTTTCCTAGTTGTGACGTGCAGAAAGAAGTTCATATATGATATTTTCTTAGACCTCTGAGTTAGGTAACTATGCTTTTACAGTAAGGGTGAGGTCTGGTCAGTGAGAAAACTTCATTGCATCTTTTCTTTACAGAGTTTGAATTTGAGTTTACTGTGCCTTAGTTACATTGAATGAGGAAATGCTACCCTAGGTTAAAAATGAAAGGGCAGAGCTGCACCAGGAGAACTGGAGTGGACTTGCTGGAAATAGCAAATAAGCTCTTTTAGTTTTATGGGTTCTTTGTTTTCTTTCATTCTTTCTCCCCTCACCCTCTCACACTCCCTCCTTTTGCTGCCATGCCAAGCTGCACAGTGGTTTTGTTCTCCTGTCTTTTCTTAGCAGTCCTTGGAACCAGTGGGTAGACAGGATGTTGTAGTCAATTTTATGTCAGTTTGGCAGGTACCTCACAGAAATAATTAAAGATAATTGTTTAGTAAGGTCTCAGGTTTGAGGATTGAGTGGTAGATGGCATTTCTTCACCACATGAAACTGATTCAAAAACAAGAATTTTGAATTTGCGTTGGACAAACTGAGTGTTAGATGTTTCTAGCAGCTGTTTGGACTTAAAGCAAATTCTTGGGCAGAGGAGACTGTTCTAGGGGCACAAGGTGTGCTGGGTTCCTGCTATTTGTCTTGGTCCTGACTACAGCCTCTGACATAATGCAATTTGATTTTAAGAATACCCCCTTTTTTTTTTGCAGCTACATGGTAGATACAATTGAAAGAAATAGTTACCAATATAGGGTGGAGTTACTTCTATGTATTTTTTTCTGTAGGGATACTAGCATTTGAAACTTGATGATGCTCAGTGTTAGTAGTGTCCTTAAAAAAACCCAAAACAGCAATCACAAAAAAACCCCAAAGCAACAATAAAAAAACCCCAAACCAAACAGGTAAAACCATTGAATGTGGAACACATTTTTTGTAAGAAAAAAGGCTGTTTCCTGTTTTCAGCTTTGTAATAGCTGTAAGAAAAACAGCTATCAGGCTATTCCTGAGAAAATATCAGTGAAAAGTCTCAATGTGACTATTATTATATAAACACTTCTTAAAAGCTTTATGGTCTCCTTGGGATTTTTTGAGTTGTTCTGTCTTAAGACATTTACGTGAAAATATCCTTCACGTACACTTCAATTTCAGAATAAAAATCTGTTGTAGCACATAACAAATTACATAGACAGCAGTTACATTTTTTGCAAAAGGGCAGTGAAGTGTTACTCCACTAGGGCAGAGACTTCTAGAAAAACAAACTCCATTTTCCTCTGAGTCGCATTTGCTTATCTTACTTCTTCGTACTCTTCATAATCTAACAAATAAACATAGCCAATTTAGGAGAGTTTTTACATGGCTCATTGTTTTTAATCTAATAAGCAGTGGGTACTAAAAGAAAAAAATATAAATGGAGGAGGTAGTTGAAAGATATGTAGTCCTTCATGATGGAGAATTGTTCCTTTTGCACTCCAGGTAACAGAAATGCAATAGAAGAAGAGGTATTGTCTTGCATTATTTTTCCTAATTTGAGCAGATGTTCACAGTTCCTTGTTTACCCTGAAAAAAAGAATTATGTAGAAGAGACAAAGTTTTGAAATACTGCACAAGTGTTGATTAAGCTTTATAGTTGCATTTAAAGGCCCATGTTCAAAGGTTCTTTGGAAAACATATGGCTATTTTGCCAATAAAAGTAAGAGTGCATATCAGTATAATGGATGGGTTTTAGCTTCCCTGAACATCATGACATCCTACTTTGTTTTACATGTTGGGATTTTTTGGTGGGAGCAAGTTTGGTGGGAAGGCAGGGGGAAAGAATCCATGTGATGCCTAGGGAGAGCAGGGAGACAGTAATTGGAGTTAGTTCTATTTTAATACTCTGCTAGAAGGAGGATTTCTGGAGAGAGGGCTGGTAAAAATAACCTATGGAAAGTAAGATGAAGCATTTGGAAGAAAGAGGTAAGAAAAGGTACTCAAGTCCTAGCTCCAGGTCAGCTGTTTTCTGCTCTTTGGAAGGCTTTATGTTGACTGTCACTCCTGCAGTAGTGGAAGTCCTGTGATAAATGGAAATGTTTTGCTAACTGCCTACTAACTACTCTAAAAGGTTTAAGTGATGCATTAGTGATTTCCAGTGCTGCTGCTACTTGCGGAAGAAAGAGGTAAGAAAAGGTACTCAAGTCCTAGCTCCAGGTCAGCTGTTTTCTGCTCTTTGGAAGGCTTTATGTTGACTGTCACTCCTGCAGTAGTGGAAGTCCTGTGATAAATGGAAATGTTTTGCTAACTGCCTACTAACTACTCTAAAAGGTTTAAGTGATGCATTAGTGATTTCCAGTGCTGCTGCTACTTGCGCAGATGGAGCTTTTAGGAATGCAATTGCTTGAGGTGGCACCAGAGATAACATTTGTATATAACAACAAAGTGCATCAGGAACACCTTAGGAATCACTTGAAATGTGTCTTCTTTACCTTTGAGTAATCCAAAAATGTTAGCATCACCTGAATTCTGTGATGCTTTTCTGTTAATTGAGTTGCATCACCTTCAGTGCCTTGTAAGTTATTTCTTTGCCTGGCATTTCAGTAAACTAATGCTTGAGACAGGCATTTTGCACTTCCAAATTAAGTGCTTTATATGTTATCTGTAATCCAGATTGTTCCTCTGGCCTATTCTTCTCTATGAATGTTTCAGTGCAGTAACACAGCATTCTCTAGCCAGTTGTCAGTACATTTATCAGTTTTACTCTTCCTCAGCAATTTTGGTTTTCAAATCTAACCTCTGTTCCTGGGTTTTAAGATTTGAGACTACATGTTCAAATAGCACAATTACAAAACCTTAGTGTTTACTTTCTCTTCAAACTTCTGATCAACTATTCTCTTTCAATAAGGGCACCACAGTCTGGGACTTTGTCAAATAATAATTCTGAAAGTTTGTTTTGACATGTGTACCATATGCAGTAGCACAAAAGGACACCAAGAAAGAGTTCTGTCTTTGATTCAAGAAACTTCATATTTGGGAAATAACATATCAGTTCATATTTCTTTTCTCATTCTAAACAGTGTCTTAAAGTAAAAACAGTCCTAAAATAAGTATCATGAAGCGAATATCAGGTTATCATAGAAACTTTGAATCTGAATTGCTAGCAGGTTATCATGGAATTGCTTACTTTCACAGCTTAAATGAAGAAAAAACCCGCTTCACTGTAGAGAATTGTATATTTACTTTTCAATAAAAGCCATGATGAGCTTAGAAGTGTGTCTTCTCTGTTTTTAATTAGAACAGTCTCTCTTGAGACCTTACCTGTAGTTAATACAGATGCTTAGCTATTGATGCATGTTTAAATGATAATGCTAAATTTAAAGTTTAGTGAAGGTGGCATGTTTTGTCTAAACAAAACTTAGAACAAACTGACCTTCTTCACACTGCGAATGGATAACAATAATGTACAGTGAAAATTAAATTGGTATTTTTAAGATTTTTACCCTTATCTGATTAGCATGTATCCTGACAGTAACATCACTGTCTGCCTAAAGAGAATAGTAGTAATAATTTGTCTTGCACTTCTGTAAGCTAAAGTCATGCATTCTTTTTTTTTTAGAATTATTTTTCAATATACATGCATTTTTATGGACATAGTCTTCTCTTAATTAGCTGATTTTTATGACAGCAATATCAGTTAGTTAAAGAAGGTATATGGAATTTGTTTTGGTTTTTTTAAACTCATATGAAGAGTTCTGTCAAAGTTATTGCAAAGATAGCATTGATTAGCTCCCTAATGCAACCAAATAAAAGAGAAAGCAGTTTACCAATAAACTGTCTGTGGGAAGCACTCCAATATTTTTCATTTGCTGAGTATGGCATCATTGCACATGTACTAGAGCTCTAAAATTGATAATACTCAATATGTTGTCTCCAATAGGAAGCTGCTAAATGTACTTGCATAATGACTCTCTGATGTTGGTGTATACTAGTTGCTCACTATCATGCATAAAATCTTTAAAAATGGGAGACAGGTGAACTTGAAGGACCTAAGTAAAAATGATGAAATGAGATTTATTTTAACATTTGGATGGGTATTTACATGTTCCTAGTAGCTTTTATTTGTTGTCATGTTGTCAACTGATATGGAAAGTTTTCTGTTTATGCAAGAGTAGTATTTCTCATTTTATGTAAATGTAAATATTTTTAGGACTCTCATATGAATGTGCTTAAGTTTGAGAAGCTTACAGAGAAGTTTAGTATGCAGTAGGATTAATGAAGGAGGATGCGGATTAAATACAACTGCTTTTATTCCAACAAAATTCAGCTGAGACTGAAATTCTTGGCTTGGAGCTGTCCCAGCTGTTAGATGCAGTATGCCTAAGGGTATAACATGGATACTTACCTACAATCTAAAGAAATATAACTGCAGTCACATTCACATAGATGTGCTGTGAGCAGATTTCATACCACAAGTGAACATTTCATTTCAATAAGCTGTTGAAAGCAGTGTTACCTGGTAAAGTTCTTTGGGCTTTGTGGTGGTGGTGGTGGTGGCTTTGTTTTGATTTTGGTTAGAATTATTACACTAATTTGAGAATTGAAGCTAAATCCATTTCAGTAGCTTGAGGTCACAGAGATCGGAAGCAAAAATTGGTTTACATGCTTATATTAACTTTTTTTTAAGAAAAAAGTTTAATTTTTAATCGGATGAAAGCAGACTTTGGCCTGCTCAAAAGTCTGGTTCAAAGTGTAGCCTGGGAAACAGCCCTTGGAAACAGAGGGGTTCAGGAGGGATGGACATGCTTCAAGAAGGAAGCATTGAAGGTGCAGGAGCAGCTGTCCCGGTGTGCCGTAAGGTGAGCTGGTGGGGAAGGCAGCTGGCCTGGCTGAACAGGGAGACTTTGGAGGAAATTATGGAAAAAAAGAGAGCTTACCAGCTCTGGAAAAAAGGGCAGGCTACTCAAGAAGAGTTCAGGAATATAGTCAGGTCATGTAGGAAGAAAATTAAAGAGACAAAGGAATAATTTGAATTAAATCTGGCCACTTCTGTCAGGGATAGCAAAAAGAGTTTCCATAAA